AACTCCTGAAACTAGTTTAACTAGAAAGATATTTCCCTTATAAAAATTATATCCATCTGGGAATAGTAGAAAAAAAATAACACTGCAACAAATGAGGTTAATATTTTCTACAGGAAAAAAAAATTAAAGCAAGTGCCCCAGACTATTGCTTTAAATCATAATTTAAACGTTTTTGATTTCCATTAAATCTAGGAGGAATATTGTAAAATTAAGACTTTTTAACCTGGGAAAATGAAGACTAAGTGGAGCTGTGAATTCACAAATGGAATCAATTTCATCTTTATAAAGTCCTTCTTACATACATTAATTCATTTGCCCTTCACAATCACCTTTTGTGCGGTAAGCATGGCAGATATTTTTATCTCAATACTTTCAGATGAGAAATTGAGATGCCATCGTTAAGTGGCTGCCAAGTCACACAACAACTCAAATGAAATATGTGAATTCTTGTCATCCGTGACAGATGAAAATGGAGTTTTTTACAAGACGAAAATGGAGTTTTTTACAAAGTCCAGAATATTAGGAAGAGTTGAGTACATGTTAAAACTTGAAAAAAAAAAAAACTGGTTTACTTAAAATAACTTATAAAGAAGTATTTTTTCTAGATATGGAAATGGGGTAGAATAATCACATGTTATCACCAAAAATCTGAATAATCACCACTAACAGGCCATAGGTAGATAAGCTGTCTTGTCTCACTGGGTCAGCTTTTCAAGCAGTAAAATGAAGAAGGCAGAGTGGAAAATCCCCAAAGACCTGCTTTGAGAATTACACGATCTACTGTGTCTGCATCACTCATTATTTCAAGAGCTGGCTGAAGCTGAAGACACCGGTTCTGATTTGGTGACTGTAATCTACATCAAAAAGCCAGTCAGGAACATGTGATTAATGAATGAACGTCGGAAGAGGCGAATGAAACGGGAGCGTGAGTGCAAGGTGCCACTTCTGAGCTTCACAGACTTCTTAGAGATGCTTAAGGTCCTGGTACATGGATGGAGTACATCATAGCTTCTATTAGGTTCTCAAAGAGAATGATGGCTTCAAAAGAATTAGTAAGTATTTTTTAGATAAATAAGCCATAGCTACTAGAGAAACTTGGGTAGTCAATTCTGGCCATCTAAAATTACCATCCTAAAAGTAGCTGTTTTTTTGTTTGTTTGGTTTTTTTAGGTTAATCTACGATATTTTTCTCCAAGACAGAAAGCTAGACTGAACACGCACCATCACAACCCAGTCCAGTCTTTGCTGTATTTCTTTGGCATGAAAGGGAGGTAAATACTAAAAGGCTTTTATCCCTTTAAAATGAAAAATGAGAAATTTCAGGATCCTGTCTTTCTAAATAAGAAACAGCATGCTAGTGTAGCTCGTCCCTCGTGTTCACATTTGGTGGTGGGGAGTGAAACTATGCCAGCGTGTAACTCCCTAGAATGGGAATATCCACTTTTCCCACACGGCTTCCTTCCCAGCTAAGGGGAACGATTCCCTTTGTGCCATCCAGTGAAAATAGCGGGGTACTACCCTAGGTCCTCTTAAAGTTCACGTGTTAAAGTCCTAACTGCCAGTGCCTCGAATGTGACTGTGTTTAAAATGGGGTCATTGGAGTGGGCCCAAATCCAATATAACCAGTGTCCTTAGAGGTAGAGGATATGAATATATGGTCAGCACAGAAGAAAAACCACGTGAAAACCATGGAGAAGACGGCCGTCTGCCCGCCAAGGAGGGAGGCCTCAGAAGAAAAGCAACCCTGCCAACATCTTGATCTCAGACCTCCAGCCTCTAGAACTAGGCACAAATACAGTCCTGTTGTTTAAAGTCACCTAGTCTATCGTACTTTGTCATGGCAGCTGCAGAAAATGAATCCAGTGAGTCAGAGCCACAGACAACCCCAAAGGAGAGAGATGTAGGCTGTTTCCTAGTCTTCCTTTAAAATGCAGTGCAAGATGTTCAAGCCCTCCGCCATTCTCTATCGGGCTGAAAAAAGTCCCTAAGTATTCTATGAATTTACCAATCTTCCTGGGACAGAAAATTAATGCATAGGTTTTGCAGTTATCATATCTAACTGACCAACTATTTTGGTAATTTAACGTAGTCAATGTCTCTTTTGAGTATTTAAAAATATTAAAGAGCAACTTAATGATCAGTTCATGGCAATAATAATATTCTACCCCAAAAGAATCAAAGAGTAACATTAAAATGAAATATATTAAAAAACATCAGATAGGACGTGAGATTCATGTTTCAGGGAGTTTCTTAAGAGCCCTCAAGCACATAATGGCTATTTGGTTATCTTTTAAAGGAGACTTTGTTATGATATTTGCGAACATTAAAAGAGAAAAGATTTTCCTAATTAATAAAATAGGGAGGGAAAGATAAAGAGAAGTTGGTTAATGGATATAAAATTATAGCCAGATAGGAAGAAGAAATTCCAGGGTTCTATAGCAGTGGTCCTCAACCTTTTTGGCATCAGGGACCTATTTTATAGAAGACAAGTTTTTCGCAGAAGGGTAGGGGATGATTTGGGGATGATTCAAGTGCGTTACCTTTACCTTAGGTTCATCTGGCATTAGATTGTCATAAAAACGTGCAACCTAGATCCCTAACAAGTGTGGTTTACAGTAGCGGTGATGCTCTTATGAGAATCTAATGCTGTTGCTGATCTGACAGGAGGTAGAGCTCAGGTGGTGATATGAGCAAAGGGGAGCAGCTGTAAATACAGATGAAGCTTTGTTCACCTGCTGGTTGCTCACCTCCTGTTGTGCAGCCCATTTCCTATCAGGCCACCACTGGTGCCGGTCCATAGCCCCAGGGGCTGAGAACCAGAGTTCTATAGCACCATAGGGTCAACATAGTTAACAATAATTTATTGTATATCTTCAAAAAGCTAGAGAAGAAGATTTTAAAATGTCCTCAATACCAAGAAGTGATAAATGCTTGAGGTGATGGGTATCCTAATTATCCTGATTTGATCTTTATATGTTATATACATTTATCAAAATATCACTCTGTAACCCATACGTATGTACATTATGTGTGAAGTAAAAATAAAGGAAAAAGATTTAGTTAACTCCAAAGCTATTGGCATCATCATTTACTTTTTGTACGGAATCCATCAGCTGGTAAATGTGTCCATTTATTAACCATCATCTATTTTCTCTATAAATCAAATAAAAGGCTGATAAACACAAATTTTCCTATAGCTGATTTTAGGGTACGAGAGAAAAACAACAGCTGAAGCTTTCCTGTTTCATCTTTGCAGATTTTAACCCCTCACCAGAAAAATGAATAATACCTAACATTTCCGAAATGTCAGCCCACAGCAGGTCTTTCTAGAATTGATTATTTCACAGATACATCGTCATAGTCAGAAAGGCCAAATTAACAGCAAATGAGTTGCGCAGGAAGGTGAGGGCACTCTTTATGTAACGGTGAGCACCTAATTAAATTACAGATGTTAGAGTGTTCCATAACATAAATCATTTAAAACACCATATACACACATAGCCACTTGTTTATGGCAATAAACAAAGCTAATAGCCAAGGAAAAGTCAAATCCCATTCACTGCCATTCAAAGAGCTCTTCATCTGTCATACAGAGATTGCAGAGCAAATTATTATGAGTTAATAAATCATTTTAATTCATAACAAAAATACAAGATTTTTTCTTATAAAAAAGAAATTACTATATTATGAAACAAGAAGGAAACTAGTTCTTACTTAGATTAGATTTCCCAAGCTTCTTGACAGAGAATATATACATTTGACAGCCTTTGTAAACGGAAGCAAAATCTTGAAATAATAATTGTGCATTGTCCTTTGTTCTATCTCCTGTTAAGAGCTTAATGATTTGGAAAGTCACTCATATTCAACAATTAATATAAATATTTCCACTGGGAAAAGTACTTTGAAAGTACTTTTAAAATAATTTCACTTTCAAGACTTAGACATTTCCTAATAACAACATATTTCATTTGATGGCAGTATTTTAATGACTGTAAAACACAAACTTACGTGTCATACACGTTGAGGAGCCAGTTGAGACACATATCCACGCAGAGCGGCACGTTGACCAGGTCCCTGTGCATTTGTTCTAGCCCATCGTACGTGGTCGTCAGACAGTTGATGACGTCTGGGACACTGAGGAGCTGATCGTTCTGGTTCAGCTTGTGCTGTTTGAAAACTTCATTTGTTGTATTCAACTCTAAGAGGTCCACTAATCAGGCGAGAAGAAGGATTATGCGCAGTCATTACGTGACATAACGAAAACCGAAGTGTTGAAACAAAAACACTTGTAGTCAAGTGTTTACTTGGTTCTTCAATTTAAGAATCTACCCCTTCTAGCTAATTTCATTTTTTAAAGAAATGAACACATTGCCATGCTTACATTTGACCCCATTTCCGCACTTTTCAATCTGAGCTCTGTTGCTTTTCAATCTCAGTCCCTTTTTTTGCTCTTGGTAACACCAATTTTCCTACTTTCCTTTTCTAGTTTTTCCTTCTCTAGGCCCTTTCTGTCTTAATATAGCATGAATCTTTCAATCTATACAACTCGGGTAATATTGCTAATATTACATTGCTGTCCTCATCTTAACTCCTGCAAACAGCCTGATCGCTGACCTCTCCTTCATCCTCTGTATCAATGCCAAACCGTTCCAAGTTTCTTAACACGGACATGCACGTGTCATCTACAAAGTTCACTGAAGATGATCAGTTAAAACAAACAAACAAACAATACTTCTCTACCGCCTACGGAACTGAACCTGATCTATAAGGCCACCACATCAGGCCCTGACCGGGCTGACCTCCCATGATGCTCTGACACAGAGGCACCTGCTGCTGAGGAGGAGGCCAGGACAGACCCTGCATCCACGGGTCTCCATATACTCACTCCCACTCTATCTTCATGTGTAGAGCATCAACAGTGCTAGAACAGGGACGGTGTGCACAGAAGGGGAAGGCAGAGCCCCTGCTCTCAAAGACATACTGATGGCTTTACTAAAGGGAGGCATAACAGTGCCCTCGAGGAGAAATACGAGATTTCTATGAGAATTCTTACTGCTAGAGCACAGGAAGGACAACTGGAAAAGGCTCTGGGGAGACCAGACTTTGAAATAGGTCTTGAAAAATAGATAAGATACAAGGGATCCATATGAAGCAAGGAAAGAATTCCAGGAATACAGAACTGCTTGAGAAAAGAATGTCAGCAAGGTCAGGGGATCCTAAGGTACAGCAGACTGCAGCGTGGACGGTGCACAGCCTACATGTGAGTGTTGTGTGGTCACAGTGAGACAGACAGGAGAAGCAGATGATCCAGGCACCTGTTACAAAGCAGATTATCCAACCACCATGCATCTATTATGTTTGTTAAGCATGAAGATGATTCTTTTGAATCTCAGCATATGGGTAAGGAAAATTTTAGAATCTACATTACCTTAAGGTCTGCTCATAGCAATTATTGTTTTATGAAATTCTTCCTTTATTTCTAATATTTAGCTTTTTAGCATTAAAAAGATAAGCTTAATGGAACTTTAAAGATACACAACATACACACACACACACACAGAGGGCACCAACAAATGCATACACATTTTAAGACAAAGACTGTATTAAAATTGTAATACTCAATATATTCTGATAACAAAAGATGAATGTAAGTCACAATTGACTTCTAAAACTATAAGAGATGCTCAAAGTATATTCATAATATGATATATTAACACATACGATAACATGTTTTATAATGTGTATTTTTGGCACTCTCCGCACATATATAACCAACTAACTACTTTCTTTTTGCCTGATGCAAAAACTATTCTCTCAGAAAATACGATGACATATTTTGACAGTAAACTAAAACGAACAAATAGCTTCCTTTGTATTTATCTATTTTTAACCAGTGAATAACCATGAACTCAGAATATTTAAAGACATTTATGAAACAAGCTCATTCTAGCTGCTCCAATACCACAGTATTATTTATTTTTTCAAGTTCTCTACAATGAAAAAGGACTTCATAATAATGGAGGAGAGTAAGATGATTTCAAAAACAACTCAACAGGGAAGACATTCTTTAAAAAAAAAGAGAGAAAGAAATAAACATAGAACAGCCAAGTCTGGATAATAGGCCAATCTATTTCTTTCAGATGTCAAATACATCATTGGTGAACTTAAACTAATGTCATAAACAACTCGCATAAGCTCCGCATGAGTTAGAGGTAGTGTCTGGAACAAAACAAAGTACCACGTGGAATTGCCATTTCATTTTTGCCATATTTCTTGGCACCATGAAGGTGACCTTTGAACGACATGGGTTTGACCTGAGCAGCTTCACTTGTACATGACCATTTTTCAGCACAAGTTACACTGAGTGGGCCTGCCTCCCCTCCACCTCTCCCACCTCTGCCCGGCCCGAGACAGCAAGGCCAAGCCCTCCTTTCTCTCTCCTCCTTAGCCAACTCAATCAGAAGACAAGCATGAAGACATTTATGCTGACCAATTTCCACTTAATGATTAGTTAGTGTATTTTCTCTTCCTTACAATTGTATTCATAACGTTTTCTGTTCTCTTGCTTATTGTATTGTGAGAATATAGTATATAATTCATCAAAATAGGTATTCATCGACTATTTATGTCATCAGTAAGTCTTCTGATCAATGGTGTGCTAATAAGTAGATTTATGAGGAGTCAAAAGCTGTAAGATTTTCAAATGTGTGGAGCTGTGGAGTTAGCACCCCAAACGTTTCCCTACATGGCTCAAGGGTCAAATGCAAACCACGTGAGTGTCGTGTGGTCACAGTGAAGTTTGAAACCTCTAGATGGCAGGAACAAAATTCAAATTCCTTCTCCAGGCCTGCCCAGGGGAAGTATTTAATAGCAAACGGGAGCCACAGAACTACGATTCCCAACAGACAGAGAAGACCATATTCAATACTGCAAAAGGCTCTAAATGAATGTTTGTGAATTCCAACATTAATTATGCTGGCAGCACAGCACTGCTATTGGGTCCCCATGTGGCATAAAATGACAATAGACCAAACGCCACAAAGCCCATTTCCTGACTCAGGCGGTCCTTGAATTTCTTTCATAAGTCCCCCTGGTTATCTGCTCTGGAGCTGTGCCAGCAATGTGCCACATGCCACAGACTATCACGTCTTCGGTTTTCAGTGATTTACTCTGACACTTCGCCTTAGTACCTCAACCAAGCGCACATCTTTCTGAAATGTGTCACATTGAGGCACTGTGAAAGGACTGACTACATTTAAATCACAGAAAATTATGATTATGATTCTCTCTTTTCAGAGGGAGACAAATGACAGCTCCGTCATGTGGTAAATAAAACAGATAGCAGGATCATTTTTTATCTAACTTTTACATTTTTTTCCTTAATCCCATGTATAAGGCCCAGGGGGTCTAACGGAAATGCATCATCATTCCCTTATTCTTCAAAAAAACTCAAAAACAAGAACAAAACTAACAACGTTTAGCACCCAACCTTGGGCTTGTGTGACTTTTCTCCCAGTCTTGATGCTAGAATGATTCAGCATCAAAAATCAATGAGCTAGCTGTCAGCACCAGCGTGGCTGAATCTCAGACCATTCCTTCTTAGTGCTTTTCCTATATCCTCTTCCAAGTACCCCAGAAATGCAGGTGGTGCTCAAGGGTTCCTGTCTAGCCTTTCATCTACGCACCTAATACGCTCAAGGACCTGACTTCCATTATCACCTCTGTCTGGCTTCAGATTCCTTCTAACCTGCCTGAACACTTGATCACGCTCCCATAGCTTGGTTCCCTCCCAGAGCTGGAATTTCTACCTTCACATTTTCCAAATAAAGGTCTTGCCTTCTTGTGATGCTTAAATCCATAGCTATTCTGACACCCTCCCCTTTTCAGCCTCCGTAATTTAGCAACTGACAAAGTTCCCCTGTCATCCTTTCTCCCGCAAGCTGTCTTACAAACCCAGACCCTCATTTCCTGCCTTCCTACTCAGCCAGGTCAGCCTTCACCATCTTTCCCCTGAATTGTTTACTCATTTTGTTTCCTGTGCCTTTCAATCTTTCTCAGGTATTAGCTAAACCTCTAAAGCCCACATCCATCTCTAGCCCTATCTCTAAACTTTCACTAGACAGGAAGCAGTTCACAGCTCTCCACTCTATTAAGAAAAATATCCATACATTAAATCCAATACTATGAGAGCTTGAGAGAAGAAGAAAGAAGGAGAAGGAAGAAGAATTTCACAAAAGAAATGACCTTTGCATTGACCTACATTGATTCTGAGGAACTTTCTGGACATTGAGCTGACTTAAGTTACTCCTTTCAGACTCCACTACTTGATGTTCCCTGAACTCCTTCCACGCATTCGACTCTAAGGCATGTGACTCCCTCTTCTTCTCCCTGGTTCATAGCCACATGCCTAGGTCATCTGTCATCTTTTACAGCCTGGCTATTATGTCTGCTACCCAGGGAGCTTGCCTTCTTTGTGATGAAGGGACTTTCTCCCTCCTCTGAACGCTTTTCCCTTTGGCTTCTCTGCTATTGCCTACAACATAAAGTTTCAAAATCGAAATACAAAAGAATACACAGTAGAACCTTCATAGGCGGCCACCTCCTTACATCAACTGCTTCCTTAAGTAGATCTAATTTTCATAGACCGGACATGTACCACATGTACATATCAGTACAGTAGGCCTAGTTCCTCATGTTGACCACCTCCGTGTGTTGACCAGTTTGTTACAGTCCCTTGTGTGGCCAATCTATGGTGGTTCTACTGTATACAGTACATCTGTGCAGTCTAAAGAATGGTAATAGAGCTGAGACTCGTTAACTCGTAGCATAGCTGAAGACATGCAATGTTGGTCCTATCTTGGAAACCCTCCTCACAATCACAGGGGTGACCACTAACTCCTGTATTTCACTTTCAGTTTTTAGAAGAATGTATGTGTCTCTAAATAATACAGCCTTTAGTTCTGCATGGTTTTGAATTACATATAAATGGAACCACATGTATAAATTTCTTCTGCCACTTAAATTTTTATTCAATTTTATAGTTCTAAGATTCAACCATGTTGATGCTGATTGCTAGTTCTTTATTTTTTGATGCTGTATCATTGCACATTTATGAATATGCTAAAATTAAACAGGTTTTACTATTGAAAATTGCTGCTACAAATCTCCTTGTACATGTCTTCTGCTGTATAGCTATGCAATCTTCCAATTCAAATAAGGTACTCACTGTGTCCTAAACAACTCTGCTCTGTGTCAGAAACTATATGAGGTCTTACATGGAGAAGAATGCAGAATTGTTCCTCCCAAGAAGGCTTAGTTCATGTGAAGATATAGACAATAAATAAGTGAATAAAAAGAATATTGAAAATCATGACCGATGCTAACTTAGCCCACTGACAAGTGCTGTGTCAGGAAACCATCAATTCTATGTGGAGTTGTAGAAAGCCCCATAAAACCTGGGCTGCCTGAGCACAAAAGGCCAGGACAAGCACTTCTGGGGGCGGAAGAACAGAATACAGAGTTTTTCATGTCAATCACTAACTTGATGAAGTAGAGACCTTCTTGGTGGAGGACAGTGAAGGAGGTGGTCACAGAGACAGGCCTGGAAAAGGCCATTCCAATCCAAGGGCAACAGGAACTTCTACAAGCAGGGGCTTGTGCCACGTATAACCTTCTCTCTCTGAATTTGAGTTCCTTGAGCATGAGAACCAAGTCTCTTTACATTGTTTTATCTCCTGCACAATCCTGGTGCCCACAAGGGAATGAATGACAGCCTCAGTGCATCACGCTGGGTGGGACTTACACAAAGTAAGAGGGGACCCTGACCTATTGCCGTTCTCAGGGGAGCAGGGCAACCCCCTGACATCATGCTATCACACAAAGGCAGGCATACGTTGCTCAGGCAGTCATATAGTGCTGGGAAATCTGGAGGCAGGTGGGATTAGCTTGTCAATGTTTCCAAAAGAGGTAAATTGTTAACAGTATTTGGCAAGAATAAAGGATTACATGCCACAGCAGAGGAAGGGCCGGGGCATTTCAAGTAAACAGAAAGGATGGGAGAGGAAGGAGCAGATTAATCATGAAGGTTGGTCCAGGAATGGCACACCGCCCAGCTGGGGGGCAGTCGGGGAGGAGGCTGGGGTGGGCCGTGGGCGGCCAGCGCCCAGCAGGCTTTACAAACAGGGCCTTGCATATTTAAAATCCAACACAACCCAGCACTTCTCTAACTGATACTACCAAATGTCATTTAGTTTAGAAGTTGGAGGAGTGTCCCTCCTGTTCTTCTGAGGTTTGAGGGAATGAGTTAGTTGAGGAGGGAATTTTCCCTATACAGAAATTAGAATTAGAATAAGAATTTTCCCTTTACAGAATTTTCCTTTTACAGGGTTAAAAGGACCGACAAAAGAAAAACTCAGAATGTGTTACCGTGTTTCCCCCAAAATAAGACACTGCCTTATATTTATTTTCTCCTAAGAAGACACACTAGGGCTTATTTTCAGGGCATGCCTTTTTTTTTTTTTTTCTGCAGTTTTTGGCTAGGGCTGGGTTTGAACCCGCCACCTTTGGCATATGGAGCTGGTGCCCTACTTCTTTGAGCCACAGGCACTGCCTGGGATGTCTTATTTTTATTAAGTATAATACAACAATCTACATTTATTCAAATACAGTTAAGTCATCTTCTTCTGGAACCTGATGGGGGGGAGCTGACCTTGTTGGTGGGGCTGGCACTAGTGATGCATGAACTCCCTTCCCCTAGCCATTTGCATGTACACGATAGGATGTCTGCAACCGCGGTTATCAGACACGCATTTGTGCAAGTGCGAATCGCTGGGAGAAAGGAGCTGTGTTAGATAAAGGTATTCCAGTCTTCCTTACTGCTCCGCCCCCAATGCAGGGCGTGGCTATGCAGATATGCTGCATAGCCATGCCCATCACTAGGTCTTATGGGGTAGGGCTCATATTTAACAAATGCATAGAAATCCTGCTAGGGCTTATTTTTTGGGTAGGTCTTATTTTCGGGGAAACACGGGTAATATGTTTATCCACCAGAAGTACGACTGAAAACGGACCATGTGCATAATGACACAAAACAGGCCTCTGTCAGTGGAGATTTTGAGGCTGGGTCATTTGTCCTCATTTCATAGCTCATCAGTCCTGAGAAGACCTTCCAGACCTGTCCTCTGGATCTCGGTGATGCAGCTGAGCCTCTTTGCAAAACTGCTGCCACCAGGAACTCCCTGCATAGACCAAACATCCCTTCTGTATGTTCGTAATTTATTTCCTATCCTCTTCTCACTCAACACACGGTCACCAGCCAGAGTGTGTTGGCTTTCCTTCTTTGCTCTGGTAATTCTGCAACACTCACTGCAAGCACTACAACCTGCTAATCATCTCTGGGCTCTGTGGATTGTGCAAAGGCAACCCTCGTGATGTACTCAGCTCATAAGTCATCAGCAATTTCTACTGACTTCCAAGCAGCATATCATTTTTCTAAGGATAATTTTCTTTTTCCTTAATTCTTCTTCTTTTTATTTTTGAGACAGTCTCACTCTGTTGCCCTAGCAATCTCAAATTCCTGGGCTGATCCTCCTGCCTCAGCTTCCCTAATAGCTGGGTCACACCCATATAATTTTTTTTTTCTATTTTAGTAAAGATGGATCTTGCTCTTGCTCAGGCTGGTCTTAAACTCCTGAGCTCAAGTGATCATCCTGCCTTGGCCTCCCAGAGTGCTAGGATTATAGGTGTGAGCCACTGTGCTTGGGCCTAAGGATAATTTTCAAACCTTTAACTGCCTAGACAAAAATCAATACTTACCCAAAAGTGGCACAGAAGAATACTTAGAACTTTCTAATTTCCTACCTTAAAAATATGTTCTTTGGGTAGACTCAATCATTAAAATCATACCCCCAAATATAATCCAGTTAGCTTAAATCTATACTTTATTATAAGCATTCATAGTTCTACTTAACTTGAGGTTATTGGAGGGGAAAATGACCTTTTCCACAAAGTGACTATCACAGAATATCTCTTGGAACACACCCTTAGCAGGAAAAATTCCTTGATAATGCTAAACTCTTAAGACACATTTTAAAGGGAAATAGAGCTTTTTATCTAATTTGCTAAGGTGCCAGTTCAGATTTGGATTAGGAATATGATTTTCCAGTGTTTCTTTATTGTGGGATTGTATTGAGACAAACCGTTTGTAACATTACACTTCCAAATGGATACAAAGCACTACACAGAGGCTATGACCCACTACTTTGATTTCTTGATTGAAATCTTTTGAAATTGGGTGGCAGCATAGTTTTTGAAAAAGCTTTTCACGTTACTCCTGTGTTTTGGTTAATTTTCTTCTCCAACCGAGCATGGCATATGTTCAGCTGCTGCACCACCACGCGCGGGTGGGGCAAATACTAAAAGCTTTTACAGAAACACAGCCAACTCCCTTAAGTGAGGCACCCTGGAAATCAGATTAACTCTGCAAACACCACACCCTCTTTATCTTTCTCTTAAAACAAACAAACAAAAATAAAAATAAAAAAGGCAATCCAAAGAGTAGCGTGATTAACTTTGGCAGAATAACTTACAGCACAGTGCCTTTTGCAGTCTTCGAATTTTGATTGCTGTACGGTAGGCCGAGAAACGTACATTATTCAGGTCAGCTGAAATGGAAAAAGAAACAATTCAAAAGAATGTTTATTATTTAATTTATAGTGAATGCCAAAGAATGTGTTTGCTTATTTCAGATGATGGAAAAATACTGTCTCTCTGAAATCGAGTCTTCTCCTAAATCCCACAACATGTATTTAAGTAATTAAATGACTACGAGCACCATGTTCAGATATGTCTCAAAGCAACGCTACACAGGAAATTCCAAGAGACCATTTTCAAATAGGTGTCTAGGCTCAGAACGTGATACCCCAAAGTATGGTGCCTTGCTGTGCTAAGTACATTGAACCGAAGGCGTTTTGAAGACCTCAGAAGCAAAGTCTTTCTGACCTTCCATCCCCCTGTTCCCTGTCCCTCTTTCTCCCTTCTAAGCGATGCATAGAAGCCAAAAGTCCCCTTCCCCAAGGTGAGTCACAGAAACTTGAACTTCTCTTCCTCAAAGCAAGCCATTAAACTTTGAAAAGTCACTCTCTGACCTTATTCCATTTCCCTTGAAAAGTCACCCTCATGTGATAGGTGACCTGTACCTGTAAGCCACACAGAAATGCCTGGAAGAATCTGAAGAGACAGGCCTTGCTGGGTTCCCTCTCAGTCCATTGCCATTAGATCAAAATTTTTGTCTAATTACATTTCCACTGGCTGCCCATTCTTCACTGAATCTAAGTATAGAAATAGACACTTTCCCCTGCGTCTTTAGGTCTTCATTTCTAAAGGTGCCTATGGCACATAAAACTTGGATTAATCAATCCATTATGCTTTACTCTGTTAACCTGTCTTACAGGAGTGTCACTTACAGGAGTGTCATGAGATGAGAAAAGGGAAGCATGGCTTTTATTGTGGCTTAATAAGCACCTTGCACAGTGGGCTGAGGGCCTATGGGGATTCTCCTCCAGGGACATTTCCTCCAAGGACAATCGTTTTCTTTCCACCCCGATGTCCATCTCACTGCTCATGAAACTCTTCTTATTTTTATCTACCTTCTATCCTGATTTTCTTGCTGCTTCTTCCCCTTTGTAGATCTGGTTAAAGTGACCTTATAATCAATATTCAGATCTTCAGAAACAATGGATAGTTTAATTTCCCTCTTTACCTCCTAAAGACAAGAGTTTTAGAGACTAATGAAGTGAGAAGACTATTCAGTAAATGACAACAGTCTTCCCCTCATCTTATAAGCCAGTGCTTCTGTCTGGCTTGTCCAACCTTTGCAGAATCCCTCAGCTCTCCACATCGAAACCCAGTGTTTAGAGGATCAAAGGGGGCAACTCTCTGGTTGGAATGGGAGTGGGGAAGGGATGCTGCGGGTGCCGCTCTCCCCTCTGGCAGCCCCTTAGCCACCCCCAAAGAAAATGTTACAAGCTCCTGGAGCATCCTGAAGGAAGTAAACAACCAACTGCAAGTCATATTCCACCAGAAATTAAAATACAACTGGAAATCTCATCTCATCTGTTCTCTTGCTTTTTTTGTTTTTGCAGTTTTTGGCCGGGGCTGGGTTTGAACCTGCCACATCTGGCATATGGGGCCGACGCCCTACTCCTTTGAACCACAGACGCTGCCCCTTCTCTTGCATTTTTATATGCACATGAAATTAAATTAGTTAAGCTAATCTGATAAAATCTACTGAGTAAAAAGTGAGCCAAAAGCAAATTTAAAGCAGTGGATTAGAGGTTGCTAATTGAATTTTTTTTTTTTTTTTTGCATTAAAGCTGGTGTTTAAGATGATTCAATATGAGGGAACCAAAGCCTACAATTACCTTCTTTCTCTACGTCAGCTCTCTTTGGCTCACACTGTTTCAAAGCACACGATTCTTTCAAGAGGAAAAGTGGTCCCTGTTGATTGTTTTGCACTTGGAAGCTCAGCTGCTTTGACACATCAGTGACATGATTCAACGTGTCATTCCACGGAGGAAGAGCTGGTTGTAAGTTTCCATTTGCAAATACGCAGTACCCAGTTGTTTAGGCTAATTCACTACTACTTAACACAGCAACACTCACCAAGAGATTGAAAGAGTTCAGTCATCTTAGGATGATCCCAACAGGTTGTCTGTGTTTGATGGCTGGGAACAAAAGGTAAAATTAAAAAAATAGAAGACTATAAACCTTAGTATAAAGGCAACACAGAAAACACCCAAATAGAGAATTTTTAAATAAATTAAAAAAAATATATATATATATACCAGCTTATCCCCATCATGGACCACTCAGAAACCCCATGCCCATTTATTACTTAATATTTGAAACCATTAGTAAATTATATTTGAGCAACTATATAGTGAAAAGACAGAGGAAAAATTTGGGCTTTGTCTATTTAAAAAAAAAATTGCAGCTAAAAATTAAAACCTAGATCGAAAGCATGACTGTCATAGACCCTCAGGAGCTAGGCTCCATGTGGCCAGATCAATGTAGGTTGCAGAATAATTCTGCTTCTGTTGAGCAGATATAGATTCTCATTCAGAACAAATCTTGTGACAGCTGTGAAGTGGCTGTACCTCAACCCTCCTAATGACATTCCCAAAGACTAGGGATACGAAGAGATTAACTGTCATCTTGAACTTCTAGCCTCAAGCGGTTCTCCCCTGTCAACCTCCCAAAGTGCTGAGATTACCGGCCTAAGAGTTTAACACTGAACAACATCACCTCACCATCTTCGGAGCCTCTCCCTTCCTCCACAACCTTGCCTGGAAAGGTCTTAAGTACAAATTCCTTCCTTTCCCTCTTCCTGGGAATCTGGATTCCCTACTCTTCTTCGGCTGTGCCATTTCGACCCAGTGCCATTTCGACCCAGTGCCCCTTGTCCCAGCTTCTCTCGTGTAATGAGCCTTGTTTTTTGTATGCGTTGAACTGTTTTCCTCATGAACCTTATTCTCCACTTTTGAAACTTTCTCTTTTTGCAAATTCTAAAACAAATTCATATATTAGTTAAAAATCTTTGGGGAATAAGATGAAGATAAAAATAGATAAATGGAGCACTTAAATTAGGTTCTTTGGATTGTGTGTGTGCGTGAGTGTGTGGGTCAGTGGCCTTACATTTAAGAAGAGTTCACTGTCCCTTATCTAGGTCAGAATAGAGCAATAACATTTAATAGTTCTCTGAAGACTTCTCGGATGATGCTCAGTTTTTTTAAAACTGTTTAGTGAGCTAAGTGAAACAGCATAGCACACAAGAGATAGTGATACTAAATATTCATAACTTCAAATTTGAGAAAATTATTTAAAAACCCATGTAATATATCAAAAAGTGGGGTATATCGGGGGAAAAGAATAGCAAACAGCTCATAATTTGCTTTGAGAGATATTTAAAGTTTACATTTGAACTCTGGTATATAAAACGTCCAGGAAATTCTAAAATCTCAAACAAAATAATATATACCTACAATGCAAAGATCTGTCTTGAGGCGAGATGGAAGTTTGTCTGGCTCTTCTACTGGTTCTTGACCCCAAAGCAGAGTTAAGTATTTCCCTTTCATGGTCTTCTACTGAACACCAACAAAGCCATTCTACCCTTTCGCTATCGAAACTGCTGCAAGGACCACGGAGCAAGTGCTGAAGTTGTCTGACCTGAATTCTTACTCCTCACAGTTGGGCTCAGAGCTTGCCAGAAATGCAGAATCTCAGAAACAATTTCCTCCCTACCACCAATATAAAGAAGGATTTGCTGAAAAGCTTGTGTCATTTCAGTAATGTCTCAAGGGCCTCCGATCTTAGCCAGCCTACCAGCCTACTTTAGCTCATCTGTTCACTTGTCTTTCAAGTACTTTCAATCTCCCTGGCAGCAGTATTGTCCAGAGACAGAAGCCCCATCGTGAAGGAACAAACCACAGCTCAAAAACCAGACTAAAGCCATCAGGAATGCAGAGCCAGACTTGGCGCTTAAACAAGAAATACGGTAAGTGCACTTTCTCTAGAATTACAGGTGTGGTGTTTTCCCTCACACAACCCCTCCAGAACCGTAAGGGGACCACTACCCAGTCAGGAGAGGACTGAGAACTCAAGGTGAACATTCCCTGCAAATGGCCCTTTTCAGGGGAACCACTGCTGAGAGGTGGGGGAACACACACATTTGGCAAACAGATGGAGAGTGGGAAACGGCATCTCCCTTTGTGAATTCAATACCAGTTGATTCATTAGGCAGAACTGCCAACACTGAAAATAAATACAGCCTCTGGTTACAAAAGTCTAACTGCAGCTTACCAAACAATTTTTTTAAAAAAGTAGAAGTAGTTGGCTGTTGGATTTTCTTTCTTTCCTTTTTTTTTTCTCCCAAGTGAGGGAGAAGAGGTTAAAGTAAAATCCACAATGGACCCAAAGGCTTAAACTATTTGCACAGCTGCAGATGGCTCAGCACCTCTTACCAGAATGCTCCTAATTCTCCCAGGGTAGGCAACCAAAACAGAATAAAGGCGGCATCCTCCCCTTCCCCCAAATAACAACAGCTTGGGTTCCAACTAATCGCAAATATGCAAGGGAAATGCGATGTCATATTGTGCAGGTTAATAAGCTATCAAATTAAATCATACTTTGACTACTAAAAACCCTTTCTTTAAAAGGCACCGGACATAGGCATCTCTGCAAGAATAAAATAAAAAATTAAAAGTCTAACAAAGCAGCAAGTAACAGTTCAATCCAAAATCACGAAAAGCAGACAATTGCAAGAGCCTGTGACATGTAACAGGGGTGCCCAGCCAGCACAGCTTTGCTCAAGTAGGGAAAGGTTGTGAAGGTCTCTGACGTGTGCAAAAAAACCAAGAGGGGTCCTATAAAGCTTAACTCATCTTTGAGCTATTTTTAACTCTGCAAACTGAAGAAAACCAATAGTAAGGCAAATTATTTTGTCCACAGAAACGCAAATTGGGTCCACTGGAATGCAATTGACTACAGTCCTGTGGATATTGAGCAGTTTGTCAGTTTTGTATCTAAAGTTTTGTAAATTCATTTTAAGTTCCCTGATCTCACTACAAAGATGTGAGACTTTATATTCTCCTTGGAATCCATCATAACTTCTCACTGGTTCCCTTATTAATGCACTAAATAAAAGCAAACTCTTTTTATATCTGTATGAGAGTCAAGATTTTACCTATTTTGAAACTTATCTTTCGGCACCTAGGACAGACCTACTTAAAACTGGGCTGTATACTGGAATTATACACTGGTGCCCTGGTATAATTACTGAAAGTGTCCTTGACTCTTAAGTATCCCAGTTGAGATAACATATACTCTCTACATGTTATGGACTTTATTGAAATATTAAGCCAATGAAGTTAATAAGTAGAATATCCCTGACCTACTACTTGTATTAATAACAACATACTCTGATGAGCCACAGTCAGTAAAATACAGATAATATAAGACCGTGCAACAACAAATAAAACACAAAAATGTGTCCCAACACTACCTAATATTTGAGATAACCTGCAGCAAAGTTCATGTACTTTTGATAGATTGGTAAGATATTGATGTCTGGGCAAATGACAGCTGGGAGAGATACTTTTCAAACCCATTTGTCCTCATTAGAGCGGTCTACTTTTTTCCATGAAACTTTAAAACATGTTCAAAAGGCATCCTGCTTGTCCCCAAACTGACAGTCAAATATACTTACTTGTTACCATCTACCCAATTTTATGCTATTAACTGGATTTTTTGAGGCTTGCTGTTTATCATCCCATCCCATTTATAAAGGCATATAAAAGAAAAAACTAAAAGTGAGTGAGTTTAGTAAAAATACTAATGTGGGGAAAAGAACAATGTATATTGCTCAGGGATAAGACAATTTCAGGAAGAGAAAAATGTCTTCTTTGCTGTGCAAAGTGAAATATACCAGACGAGGTTAGGATGTATAATGCTGATTACAGTAATGGCCTCTTATTTGAGCACTCTATTTGTACCAAGTACTTTCCAAAACTTTTTCTGTGTGTGAACTCAATTCGAATTACAATTCTGTTGTAATTGTGATCTGGTATAGCCACACTTTATGGACCAGGGAAGAAGGCACTCAGATAACTTGTCCAAGGTCAAGTTATCTTCTGTTACCAAGGAACTGAAATGGGATTTGAACACAGATGTTCTGATTTTAAGCCTGAGTTCTTGAGATGGAAGTATATTTGCATAATGAAGGTTTTAAAATATTTCTTGATGAAATCTGTCCAAATTTGAGTCCGTCCTCTATCATTATAATCATTACAAACAACCTCATCTCTCTGGCTTCCCTCACCCCTGGCAAATCCCTGGCCGGGAGCAGTTCAATTACTCGCCTTCTCTGGACCTGAGCAGCTGTGGATGAATACAATTGGAGAGAATCACTCGACAGAAAGATTGATGTTACTCTAAGTATTTGGTTTCAAGCCTCAAACGTCCACTGCGTGCCCTCATCTAATTACTTGCTTTCCTAAACCCCAAGGCCACAATTTCCTCCTGCCTTCTCTTTCCCCAAACCGAAGAAAGTTTCTCTCCCTGCCTCGGTCCCATCTGACTTTATCTCACACTTCATTAAGCAACTGAAACCCGCTGGATTAGGGCTCCTGCATCTTCCCACCACCAAATCAGTAAACCTCCCATCTGCTAGTCTGTCTTCCTCTCTCCTGCTTTAACTGAGAAACTGTCCCTCCTCCTGTCAAAGGCCAACGCTTCCTAATGGCTTTCTGTAACAACTCTAATGCTGTACTATCAACCCCTCTCTCAGGAAGACTATTTGCCCCAGAATATAAATGTTTACTGACCTGCCATCCTTAAACACACACACACACACACAAAACCCCACCTTGAATCAACATTTCCCTCTAGCTGTGCCTCTTTTCCTCTTTTTCAGACAAAATCCACAACAGAGTTTTGTACCATAGCCACTGCCTCCTGTCCTGTTCTCTACTCAACCCAGTTTTATAGGGCTTCTGCCTTTTCTCTTCCACCCAAACCGGTTCTATCAAAATTATCAATGAACTTCACAGTGTCGAATGGAATGGCCACTCCCCAGAATGGGGAGAAAAAGAACAGTCAAAGAGCTTCATTAGTATACAGTGTAGTAGAAAGTGAGAGGTGGTATGGAAAAAAGATAGATAGACATCCC